GTCACGGAGGAGTGGTATAGCAATAGCTCTCGATGGAAGCTCATCGACAGACGCTTTCTTCGAGGGACCGATGGATTTCTCACCAACAACTCTTGTTAGTTCTCCCCTTCTAGGCTCAGCTGAACTGATTTAGATCTGATACTCTCGAGACGCTCATTCAAAGCCTTGGCCTCCTCATGCACACTACTTTGAAATCTAACACAGAAAAAAATAAATTCTAAAAATTTCTACTACAAATATGCACATGGTTAACTACATGAGTTGACGACGATATGAAAATTTTGGAAAATTTTCGTTGGTGTTCGCAGAGTTGTACACCAAAGTTTCAGAAATAGTGAGGCAACTCCAGAGGAATAAACTCCCGGAGATATGCACATGGTCAACTACATAAGGTGGTGACGATATGAAAATTTTGGAAAATTTTTCTTAGTTTTCCAACACTTCTACCTAAACTCTATAAACAGCTAGGAAACTTCTCAGCAAAGCGAACATATATTCCTCCAACACTGCTCTACTACACTTCAATTTCCCTCAAGTAGCGTCGGTGCTTATCGCCCAGCACGCCCAGCACCCTAAGCCGCTTCATAAGCGTATGATGCTTAGCACAGACTCTTGAGGTCTCCCTTTCCAACGCATGCAGGGATGAATACGACGACGATATGGGGACATCCTCCACAACCTGAAACATAAGAAATGCTACATAAATCGAATCGCCCTACCGCACGACGCCAATGATGATAATGAAACAGCTGCTGCTGATCAGTTATCACCAATTGATACTATCAAGATCTCTCACCCAACTCTCTTTGATTTCTATAACACATGTCTACCCACGACGACGTTCACCACAATGATATTTCATATCAGCGACAAGTAAATTGCCACTACCGAATACGCCATACCTTTAACTCCTATAACGTCGAGCCTCGAAATTTCTAAATGTCAGTTTGGTGAGAAAATATGCACATGGTCAACTACATGTGTTGGTGACAATATGAAACTTGCGAGGAAATTCTCTTCTACCCGAGTTCGTATATACAAATCTATAATCACTCCGGAAACTCCCGAGATCAGCTGAGGAGAGCGATATACATATATTCACCCAATCCTATACCTACCTGCATTTTCTTGCCACTAGCCTCCGCATGGTCCCTCCCGAGCCTTAGACTCCCAACAGAAGTACTCCTCCAAAGCTCATCAACACCTTTCATTTGTCGCTTCCCTTCAGGTTTTAGAGTCGTCCTCATGGTGTTTCCAACTTCTGAACTCAGTTGCGGCATAAATAGGAAAACATCTACGTACAGTACCTCTCCACCAAAGAAGACCAACAACACAACAACACTAGTGATAAAATAACATCATCAACGACTTCAACATTATGAGTGATAACGGATCGGGTTGAATTTATCACCTTTGCGGTCTCGACAAGGCACTAAAGGGTCCGCCCGTGATACCACACCTGAGTGAAGACCTCCCGTAAAAAGCAGTGTGGTAAACATTGCACATGTGTTATGAAAATTTCGGGTAAATTATTGCTGGTGTCTGCAGACTCCTAACCCGGCTAAGCTCAGCTGAGGAAAGCAAACAAAGATAGTAATATTGAATATCTGGGCACTCAGGCGTTTCTAATTACATACGACTTTGAAAACCAATACGCATCTCGTGAAATTGTCGCTACCACATGTCGTTCAGCATTTGGAATGCATTCTCCCACACTGTTGATGCGTAATACCCTAGCATTACCAGGTTTAGTGCTGTAGATCCTCACGCCCCCTTGAGGAGCGTCAGTAGCCACCGGAGGGTCGTATTGGAATCTTGCTGAGAACTTAGGAGGATATTTAACTGCTTAATATCATACCACATTTCTCGCAACTTCCAAGCAGTTACCATGGATGTCTCGCGCTTCTGTTGGAGTGTTCAGTACTCCCCTATGGAGGGCCGTGTAAGATGTTGCCGA